AACCTCCAGCCTGCACATGATCACTATGTCATAGCTTCAGATCCCTTACAATTTACATCCCTTACTTAGCCCTGGTTCACACTGATGTGAATTGTCATGCGATTTGATTGTTCAAATTTAACCATTCTAACTGGTGTAACTACGACTTCATCTGAGTCGCACAGATTAGAAAATTAGTTCCTGCTCTACTTTTGCCTATTTGGGGTGTATTTTGCATAGACACCTGTGCATGAAGTCGCACAGATGTCTATGAAGTCACACCCAAAGCTGCACTGCCATCCAACTTTGAAATCATTCGACTTCAAGTGAATTGTGCACCAGTTTTTCTATTTCCATTGCATCATTGCAGTTAAAATATATTTTTTATTTTCTCAGTGTAATACTGTGTTTTTTTCAATTCTTTGCAATATTTGGCAGTACATGTACCCTTATGCTTGATTTTCTTTGGTTCTCAAAGATTCAAAAACAATTTTGATAAAATGCATATGTTAAAATACTATAGCTGTGAATTACAGTTGTGAATAAAATCTAGTGAAAATTTTCATATTTAGTAAATCAGCCCCAGAATATCTGATGCAGACCATCACTGCATCAATCCTTTTTGATCTGCATGAAAAATGGGCATGCATCACATAAAGAATATAAGAAAATGCAAATAGTAGTGCAAAGTTAAGTTAGAAAATTTGTGAGAATGGCATTTAGATGTAAGTCTAAGATTTGTCTTATTTCTTTGAATATATTCATAATCAAATATTGGAAAGGACATAAAACCGTCGATCTTAGAATCACCGCACACTTCACTCATTTGGGCAGTCACGGGCCAAAACCAGAGTGTGAGCCACAGTGTGGCGGTGGGAGGCAGCAGCAATGGGAGGCCATACAGCACCCTATGACAAACAATGGAACCCACCAGCAGTGTGAGGAGGACCTGAAAGTGGCACATGGCAGAGTGTGGCGATGGAGACAGCAGCAATGGGAGCCGTACATAGGACCCATGACACACCTCTGGACCTGGCACAGCCGCAAGACAGATTAGGAGGCAGTACAGGGGCCCATGGCAGATTACGGGCCTGGCAGCAGCAATGGACTAGGCCCGTAATCTGCCAGCACCCTATGACAAAAATGGAACACACCAGCAGTGGAGGAGACCTGAAAGTGGCACATGGCAGAGTGTGGCGATGGAGACAGCAGCATGGGAGGCCGTACAAGGACCCATGAGAGACTCTGGACCCTAGCAGCAGCATGAGGAGGCGGGTAACGGGGGCCCATGACAGATTACAGATTACGGGCCAGGCAGCAGCAATGGCAGTCAGGGCCCGTAATCTGCCAGCACCCTATGACAAAATGGAACACACCAGCAGTGTGAGGAGACCTGAAAGTGGCACATGGCAGAGTGTGGCGATGGAGAACAGCAGCAATGGGAGCCGTACAGACCCATAGAGTGGACCTCATGAAGCGTAGACCCATCAGGACCTGGCAGCAGCATGAGGAGTGCGGTACTGTCAATGGGCGCCCCATGGCAGATTACGGGCCTGGCAGCAGCAATGGGAGGCCCGAAATCTGCCAGCACCCTATGACAAAAAATGGAACACACCAGCAGTGTGAGGAGACCTGAAAGTGGCACATGTTTTGGGGCATGAGTCATGGCGGATTAGTGGAGACAGTATTGTGTCAGGAACTGGTGGTTTGAAATCCAGACTAATCCCACGTCTGATTCCATTTCACAAACGTGAGTCTCTCCACACTTTGGGTGGACAGTCGTGTCCTCCGTAGAGTTACAATACCTCCTCCGCACTAAACACGCGCTGCCGATGCCACGCTACTGCCGGGCATGACAGGAGACCTTTCAAGGGCAAATTCAGCTAGTTGAGGCCAAAGGTCAAGTTTCGTTGCCCAGTAGTCAAGGGGATTGTCTACCCCGGGTCTTGGCAGGGTGCTGTCCAAGTAGGCCCAAGCCTGTTGTTTGGAGGTCCTGTCCAGGTCCACCTGATGCAGCTGCTGCTGGCTGGCGCTGCACATGTTAGCCTTCCTCACTGCGCTGGTGAAGAAAGCTACTCATCATCGACTGCAGACTGAGGCAGCCGCATGCTGGTGGAGCTGGCCACTGCTCCTATGACCCCACCCTCCCTCCCCTGCTGCCATGGCAGCAGCGAACGCGAGCGCACTAGGGCCCACAGAATTACGGTCTGAGGATGGAGCATTGGCGCACAAAGGCAGAGACCAACTGACAAATAGTGTGGTTTTACCAGCAGTACGTTATTTTGGCCTCCCTCCTCACAGCATAGTGTGTGAAAAGACAGGCCACCATTTTGAATCGGTAGACGAGGGTCCCAACAAGGTGGACAGCCAAAAAGTCATCCCTCTGTCTGTATGGTTATTATTCGGCTGTCGCTAACCAGATGCAACCGTGCATCCTCCACTCCTGTCCGCTGAGTGGAAAAACCACCCACTTCAGCTAATAATTCCTGAAGCACCCATGAACTCCTCTATATCCTCCTCTTCTTCCTGCCTGCCCCCACCCTGGCGTGAGATCTGTGCGCCACGTCTAACCGCACCCTGACCGCCCACCTCTCGTGTACATAAACCAATTGCATGTGTTGAGTTCCAGGACGGCAGCCAGGGGTTAAATGACGTCGTTCATCCCATAAGTCCTGCCGACTCATGAATAGCGTGGCCTCCTCAAAGGGCCTGAGCAAGCGGAGGTGTCACGCATGAGCTGCCAATGGCTGTACATCTAAGTTACACAGGGGAGTACCTGTGAGGAGACCCGAAATGTAACATCAGGAATCTGTGATGGCCTTTCGCTGTTCATGACAAAGGCGGACCCTAACATATGTAGAGGTCTGCACATAATCACCTGGCAACGTCACAGCATGAGGAGTCGGTACGGGGGCCCATGGCAGATTACGGGCCTGGCAGCAGCAATGGGAGGCCCGTAATCTGCCAGCACCCTATGAAAAAAGGAGGCGGTACGGGGGCCCATGGCAGATTACGGGCCTGGCAGCAGCAATGGGAGGCCCGTAATCTGCCAGCACCCTATGACAAAAAATGGAACACACCAGCAGTGTGAGGAGACCTGAAAGTGGCACATGGCAGAGTGTGGCGATGGAGACAGCAGCAATGGGAGGCCGTACAGGGACCCATGAGACACTCTGGACCTGGCAGCATGCATGAGGAGGCGTACACGGGGGCCCATGGCAGATTACGGGCCTGGCAGCAGCAATGGGAGGCCCGTAATCTGCCAGCACCCTATGACAAAAAAAAGGAACACACCAGCAGTGTGAGGAGACCTGAAAGTGGCACATGGCAGAGTGTGGCGATGGAGACAGCAGCAATGGGAGGCCGTACAGGGACCCATGAGAGACTCTGGACCTGGCAGCAGCATGAGGAGGCGGTACAGGGGCCCATGGCAGATTACGGGCCTGGCAGCAGCAATGGGAGGCCCGTAATCTGCCAGCACCCTATGACAAAATGGAACACACCAGCAGTGTGAGGAGACCTGAAAGTGGCACATGGCAGAGTGTGGCGATGGAGACAGCAGCAATGGGAGGCCGTACAGGGACCCATGAGAGACTCTGGACCTGGCAGCAGCATGAGGAGGCGGTACGGGGGCCCATGGCAGATTACGGGCCTGGCAGCAGCAATGGGAGGCCCGTAATCTGCCAGCACCCTATGACAAAATGGAACACCACCAGCAGTGTGAGGAGACCTGAAAGTGGCACATGGCAGAGTGTGGCGATGGAGACAGCAGCAATGGGAGGCCGTACAGGGACCCATGAGACACTCTGGACCTGGCAGCAGCATGAGGAGGCGGTACAGGGGCCCATGGCAGATTACGGGCCTGGCAGCAGCAATGGGAGGCCCGTAATCTGCCAGCACCCTATGACAAAAAATGGAACACACCAGCAGTGTGAGGAGACCTGAAAGTGGCACATGGCAGAGTGTGGCGATGGAGACAGCAGCAATGGGAGGCCGTACAGGGACCCATGAGACACTCTGGACCTGGCAGCAGCATGAGGAGGCGGTACAGGGGCCCATGGCAGATTACGGGCCTGGCAGCAGCAATGGGAGGCCCGTAATCTGCCAGCACCCTATGACAAAAAATGGAACACACCAGCAGTGTGAGGAGACCTGAAAGTGGCACATGGCAGAGTGTGGCGATGGAGACAGCAGCAATGGGAGGCCGTACAGGGACCCATGAGACACTCTGTGGACCTGGCAGCAGCATGAGGAGGCGGTACAGGGGCCCATGGCAGATTACGGGCCTGGCAGCAGCAATGGGAGGCCCGTAATCTGCCAGCACCCTATGACAAAATGGAACACCACCAGCAGTGTGAGGAGACCTGAAAGTGGCACATGGCAGAGTGTGGCGATGGAGACAGCAGCAATGGGAGGCCGTACAGGGACCCATGAGAGACTCTGGACCTGGCAGCAGCATGAGGAGGCGGTACAGGGGCCCATGGCAGATTACGGGCCTGGCAGCAGCAATGGGAGGCCCGTAATCTGCCAGCACCCTATGACAAAAAATGGAACACACCAGCAGTGTGAGGAGACCTGAAAGTGGCACATGGCAGAGTGTGGCGATGGAGACAGCAGCAATGGGAGGCCGTACAGGGACCCATGAGAGACTCTGGACCTGGCAGCAGCATGAGGAGGCGGTACAGGGGCCCATGGCAGATTACGGGCCTGGCAGCAGCAATGGGAGGCCCGTAATCTGCCAGCACCCTATGACAAAAAAAAAATGGACACACCACAGCAGTGTGAGGAGACCTGAAAGTGGCACATGGCAGAGTGTGGCGATGGAGACAGCAGCAATGGGAGGCCGTACAGGGACCCATGAGAGACACTCTGGACCTGGCAGCAGCATGAGGAGGCGGTACTGGGGCCCATGGCAGATTACGGGCCTGGCAGCAGCAATGGGAGGCCCGTAATCTGCCAGCACCCTATGACAAAAAATGGAACACACCAGCAGTGTGAGGAGACCTGAAAGTGGCACATGGCAGAGTGTGGCGATGGAGACAGCAGCAATGGGAGGCCGTACAGGGACCCATGAGAGACTCTGGACCTGGCAGCAGCATGTGAGGAGGCGGTTTGACAATCCCATGGCAGATTACGGGCCTGGCAGCAGCAATGGGAGGCCCGTAATCTGCCAGCACCCTATGGGTGGAACAGTCACCTCCAGTGGAGTTACAAAGTACCATGGCAGCAGTGTGGCACTGGAGACAGCAGCAATGGGAGGCCGCAGGGACCCATGAAGACCTGGATTCCGATGGATGCCACGCAGCTACTGGCCAGGTGGGCACATGGCAGATTTCAGGGGCCTGGCAGCAGCAATGGGGCCAAAGTAAGTTTGCCAGCACCCAGTGAGTCAAGGCAGTGTGAGTCCTGACCTCAGCAGAGTGTGGCGATGGAGCAGCAGCAAATGGGAGGCACAGGGGCCCATGAGACCTGTGGACCTGGCAGTTTACAGGGGCCCATGGCAGATTACGGCCAGGCCACCTGCAGCAGCAATGGGAGGCCCGTAATCTGCTGCCAGCACCCTATGACAAAAAATGGAACACACCAGCAGTGTGAGGAAACCTGAAAGTGGCACATGGCAGAGTGTGGCGATGGAGACAGCAGCTGCTGGGAGCTGGCCGTACACTGGACCCATGAGAGACTCTGGACCTGCCTGCAGCAGCATGAGGAGGCGGTACAGGGGCCCACAGTGTCAGAGGATACGGGCGTTGGCAGCAGAAAGGGAGGCCCGTAATCTGCCAGCAACTGACTACATAGGTGGTTTTTATAGTACAGCATTTGAGGAGCCTCCCTCTCAGCAGGTGTGAAAAAGGCCACCATTTGAACGGTAGCGAGGGACCAAAAGGCACAAGGCATGACAGCCAAAAGCAGGGGCCGTACAGGGACCCATGAGGACTCTGGACCTGGCAGCAGCATGAGGAGGCGGTACATGGGCCCATGGCAGATTACGGGCCTGGCAGCACCAATGGGAGGCCCGTAATCTGCCAGCACCCTATGACAAAATGGAACCAAAAACACCAGCAGTGTGAGGAGACCTGAATGTGGCACCTGGCAGAGTGTGGCGATGGAGACAGCAGCAATGGGAGGCCGTACAGGGACCCATGAGAGACTCTGGACCTGGCAGCAGCATGAGGAGGCGGTACAGGGGCCCATGGCAGATTACGGGCCTGGCAGCAGCAATGGGAGGCCCGTAATCTGCCAGCACCCAGGTAAAAAATGACAACCAAATGCAGTGTGAGGAGACCTGAAAGTGGCCAGGCAGAGTGTGACAGACAGCAATGTTACACAGGGACCCATAGAGACCTGGACCTGGCAGCAGCATGAGGAGGCATCATTGCAGATTATGGCAGCAGTGATGGCCCCTATGACAAAATGGAACACACAGGCAGCAATGTCAGGAGACAGCAGCAACAGGCCATGTAGGGGACCCATGAGACCTGTCTGCACCTGGCAGCAGCATGAGGAGGCGGTACGGGGGCCCATGGCAGATTACGGGCCTGGCAGCAGCAATGGGAGGCCCCGTAATCTGCCAGCACCCTATGACAAAAAATGGAACACACCAGCAGTGTGAGGAGACCTGAAAGTGGCACATGGCAGAGTGTGGCGATGGAGACAGCAGCAATGGGAGGCCCGTACAGGGACCCATGAGAGACTCTGGACCTGGCAGCAGCATGAGGAGGCGGTACAGGGGGCCCATGGCAGATTACGGGCCTGGCAGCAATGGGAGGCCCCGTAATCTGCCAGCACCCTATGACAAAAAATGGAACACACCAGCAGTGTGAGGAGACCTGAAAGTGGCACATGGCAGAGTGTGGCGATGGAGACAGCAGCAATGGGAGGCCGTACAGGGACCCATGAGAGACTGGACCTGGCAGCAGCATGAGGAGGCGGTACGGGGGCCCATGGCAGATTACGGGCCTGGCAGCAGCAGCAATGGGAGGCCCGTAATCTGCCAGCACCCCCTATGACAAAAAATGGAACACACCAGCAGTGTGTGAGGAGACCTGAAAGTGGCACATGGCAGAGTGTGGCGATGGAGACAGCAGCAATGGGAGGCCGTACAGGGACCCATGAGACACTCTGGACCTGGCAGCAGCATGATGAGAGGCGGTACAGGGGCCCATGGCAGATTTACGGGCCTGGCAGCAGCAATGGGAGGCCCGTAATCTGCCAGCACCCTATGACAAAAAATGGAACACACCAGCAGTGTGAGGAGACCTGAAAGTGGCACATGGCAGAGTGTGGCGATGGAGACAGCAGCAATGGGAGGCCGTACAGGGACCCATGAGAGACTCTGGACCTGGCAGCAGCATGAGGATGAGCGGTACAGGGGCCCATGGCAGATTACGGGCCTGGCAGCAGCAATGGGAGGCCCGTAATCTGCCAGCACCCTATGACAAAAAATGGAACACACCAGCAGTGTGAGGAGACCTGAAAGTGGCACATGGCAGAGTGTGGCGATGGAGACAGCAGCAATGGGAGGCCGTACAGGGACCCATGAGAGACTCTGGACCTGGCAGCAGCATGAGGAGGCGGTACAGGGGGCCCATGGCAGATTACGGGGCCTGGCAGCAGCAATGGGAGGCCCCGTAATCTGCCAGCACCCCCTATGACAAAAAATGGAACACACCAGCAGTGTGAGGAGACCTGAAAGTGGCACATGGCAGAGTGTGGCGATGGAGACAGCAGCAATGGGAGGCCGTACAGGGACCCATGAGACACTCTGGACCTGGCAGCAGCAGCATGAGGAGGCGGTACAGGGGCCCATGGCAGATTACAGGCCTGGCAGCAGCATGGGAGGCCCGTAATCTGCCAGCACCCTATGACAAAAAATGGAACACCACACCAGCAGTGTGAGAGAGACCTGAAAGTGGCACATGGCAGAGTGTGGCGATGGAGACAGCAGCAATGGGAGGCCGTACAGGGACCCATGAGACACTCTGGACCTGGCAGCAGCATGAGGAGGCGGTACACAGGGGCCCATGGCAGATTACGGGCCTGGCAGCAGCAATGGGAGGCCCGTAATCTGCCAGCACCCTATGAAAAAATGGAACACACCAGCAGCAGTGTGAGGAGACCTGAAAGTGGCACATGGCAGAGTGTGGCGATGGAGACAGCAGCAATGGGAGGCCGTACAGGGACCCATGAGAGACTCTGGACCTGGCAGCAGCATGAGGAGGCGGTACAGGGGCCCATGGCAGATTACGGGCCTGGCAGCAGCAATGGGAGGCCCGTAATCTGCCAGCACCCTATGACAAAAAATGGAACACCCAGCAGTGTGAGGAGACCTGAAAGTGGCACATGGCAGAGTGTGGCGATGGAGACAGCAGCAATGGGAGGCCGTACAGGGACCCATGAGAGACTCTGGACCTGGCAGCAGCAGCAGCATGAGGAGGCGGTACAGGGGCCCATGGCAGATTACGGGCCTGGCAGCAGCAATGGGAGGCCCGTAATCTGCCAGCACCCTATGACAAAAAATGGAACACACCAGCAGTGTGAGGAGACCTGAAAGTGGCACATGGCAGAGTGTGGCGATGGAGACAGCAGCAATGGGAGGCCGTACAGGGACCCATGAGAGACTCTGGACCTGGCAGCAGCATGAGGAGGCGGTACGGGGGCCCATGGCAGATTACGGGCCTGGCAGCAGCAATGGGAGGCCCGTAATCTGCCAGCACCCTATGACAAAAAAATGGAACACACCAGCAGTGTGAGGAGACCTGAAAGTGGCACACATGGCAGAGTGTGGCGAAGGGAGACAGCAGCAATGGAGACAGCAGCAATGGGAGGCCGTACCCATGTACAGGGACCCATGAGAGACTCTGGACCTGGCAGCAGCATGAGGAGGCGGTACTCTGGGGCCCAGCATGGAGATTACGGGCCTGGCAGCAGCAATGGGAGGCCCGTAATCTGCCAGCACCCTATGACAAAAAATGGAACACACCAGCAGTGTGAGGAGACCTGAAAGTGGCACATGTTTGGGGCATGATTCATGGCGGATCATATTAGTCGGATTGTAGTCAGTTGTGTCACTGGAACTGGTGGTTTGAAATCCAGACTAATCCACGCCTGATTCATTTTCACAAACGTGAGATCTCTCCACACTTTGGGTGGACAGTCGTGTCCTCCGCGGAGTTACAATACCTCCTGCCGCACTAAACACGCGCGCTCCGATGCCACGCTACTGGCCGGGCATGACATGACAGCCTTTCAAGGGCAAATTCAGCTAGTTGGGGCCAAAGGTCAAGTTTCGTTGCCCAGTAGTCAAGGGGATTGTCTACCTCGGTTGGCAGGGTGCTGTCCAAGTAGGCCCAAGCCTGTTGTTTGAGGTCCTGCTCCAGGTCCACCTGATGCTGCTGCTGCTGCTGCTGCGGCTGGTTAGTAGTTTCCTCACTGCGCTGGTGAAGAAAGCTACTCATCATCGACTGCAGACTGAGGCAGCCGCTGCTGGTGGAGCTGCCACTGCTCCTACCACCCCACCCCACCCCCTCCCCTGCTGCCATGGCAGCGGAACGCGAGCGCACACAGGGCCCACAGTGTCTGAGGATGGACGTTGGCGCAGAAAGGCAGAGACCAACTGACTACATAGGTGGTTTTTATAGTACGTTATTTTGGCCTCCCTCTCAGCAGGTGTGAAAAAGGCCACCATTTTTGAACGGTAGCGAGGGTCCAAACAAGGTGGACAGCCAAAAGTCATCCCTCTGTCTGATGATGGTTATTATTCGGCTGTCGCTGTCGCTACGCAAGCAACCGAGCATGCTATGGGCCATTTGTGCCAAGGAATGCGAGGGACTCCCTGCCTCCATCTCCACAGCATACTACTGCCACGGTGCGTCTGGGTCCTCTGTCTCCTCCTCCTCCTCCTCTACCAGATGCTCCTGCTCCTCCACTCCTGTCCGCTGAGTGGAAAAACCACCCATTTCACTCAATAATTCCTGAGCACAAATGTCCTCCTCTACCTCCTCCTCTTCTTCCTGTCCTGCCCCCACAGGGGTCATGTGGCGTTGAGATCTGTGCGCCACGTCTACCGCACCCCTGACCAGCCATTGTTAACAGCATTTGTTCCAGGACGTGCAACAGAGGAATGACGTCGTTCATCCCCATAGTCCTGCCGACTCACGAATAGCGTGGCCTCCTCAAAGGGCCTAGCAGCAAGCGGCAGGTGTCACGCATGAGCTGCCAATGGCTGACATCTAAGTTACACAGGGGAGTACCTTTATCCGCTTGTAACATCAGGAAATCGGTGATGGCCTTTCGCTGTTCGTAAAGGCGGTCTAACATGTGTAGGGTTGATTCCACCTTGTTGCAACGTCGCAGATCAGGCGATGCTGTGGAATTCCGTTCTGCCGCTGCAGCTCAAGGAGGGTGTGCTTTGCGGTGTAGGAATGGCTGAAATGCATGCAAAGTTTACGTGACATTTTAAGGATGTCTTGCAGTGGGATGGTGGATTTTTAGGAACCGCTTGACAACCAGATTGAACACGTGAGCCATGCATGGCGCATGGCACAACCTTCCTTGACGCAGAGCAGACACCATGTTCTTTCCGTTGTCGGTCAACATGGTTCCGATTTTCAGTTTGCGCGGAGACAGCCATCTGTCGATTTCTCTGTTCATTACACTCAGAAGTTCCTCCCCTGTGTGACTACGTTCGCCAAGGCATACCAGGTGCAGCACAGCGTGACACCGTTGCGCCCTGCACATGTGATATGCCGGTCGGGTAATGGGACTTGGCACGGGGGGGTGGCGGCTGAGGACACGGCGGAAGAAGAGGTGGTAGAGGCGGACATTTTTTGTGTGGACCAAGGACGTGCAAACGTGGAGGCAAAAGCGGCGTGACCTGTCCAAGTTGCTGGTGCGGCTGTGCCGGCACCACGTTCACCCAGTGGGCCGTAAATGACATGTACTGTCCCTGACCGTAGTTACAGCTCCACACGTCGGCGCTGCCGTGCACTTTGGCAGAGACCGACATGCTCAAAGACTGGCCCACCATCTCTCTTCACATGTGAATGCAGGGCTGGCACTGCCTTTTTGGCGAAGAAATGACGGCTTGGCACTCTCCACCGCGGCGCGGCACAAGCCATCATTTCTCGGAAAGGTGCTGAGTCCACCACTTGGAAAAGGGAGGGACTGCAGCACCAGCAACTTGGACAGGAGGAGGACGTTCAGCTTTTTTGCACCGTCGGGTGCGTGCTCGCAAACTGTTGTCTCTTGGAAACGGATTCCAAGAAAGACTGCTGACGGAATCCGTGAAGAGGAGTAGCAGGAGAAGGAGCATCTGAACGAGCGGAAGATGCCAACGAGCGACAACTCCCCTCAGCAGAGGTGTTGGAGCCTTGACTGGCTGATAGAGGGCGATTGACGTCGGGTGACGGAGCAAGTAACGGAGCGGGTGATGGAGCGGGGGGGGCTGGGGCAGGCAGAACCGCCGTATCTTTATCACGGTTTTCCCAGGCCACCAAATGGCGACGCTGCATATGCTGACGCAACGCTGTAGTCCCAACATGGGCCCCCTGGCCACGCTTGACTTTCTGGCCACATAGTCGACATACGGGCTAAGTTTACTTCCTCGGGCGGCTTGACGAAAAATTGCCACACCCGCCGAGTAGGAAACTTTGCCCCCGATACTCCTCACTGGCTGACTGCTACTTCCTCCGTGCACACCGGCACCACTACTGGCCGTGGTGGTAGGCTGCAGTGGAGCTGGTGCTCTACTCCGTGGCCGTTTGCCTCCACTGACACTGCTGCGACCCTGCTGCCTCCTGGGCAACCCACCGACTGTTTTGCTCGCTGCCAAGCTGCCACCCTCTTCTCCTGATGATGCGGAAGCAATAGCCTGATGACGACGAGGCTGCCAAGTTCGATCAGCCTCATCATCATCAATTAGGGTCTCCGCCTCACTACTAGCCCCCTCGGCTGCGTGTGGGTCAGGAGACAGACCTGTCTCTAGACCGGCTACCGAGCCACTCTCCTCGCCACTACTTCTTCGCCTGGCTGCTGAAGAGGCGGATGTCTCCCCCCTTCCTGACCGCCCTCTGTTAGCTCTTCCTCACTGTACAGTGGGGCTGAGCCCACAGCATGCGATACTTCGCTTGGTGAGGGAACACCAAAGGACAGGGGCAGGTAGAGGACACGTGATTTCAGTGGGCTTGCTCCCGGGCCATGCCAACTAACGGTTGTGTCTGACGTACCCACCGACCGTTGGCTGTAGGTGCAGAGGTGACCTGGGAAGAGGAAGACGACCGAGCCAACCAATCGATGACGGCAGGGTTGTCGGTGGGAGACACGACCGCTGGATGACAACGGGAGCACTGGCCTCTGGCTGCGACTAGTGCTGCCTCGAACCCCTTCCTCTGCTGCCACGTCTGCTCGCTCCTAAAACATTGCCTCCTCTGCCACTCCTCTGCATGTTGTCTGACATACTCTTTAATTCAACGATTCTGTGTCCCTGAGTAACAATTCTGTGTCCCTGAGTAACAATTCTGTGTCTGTCCCTGAGTAACAATTCTGTGTCCCTGAGTAACAATTCTGTGTCCCTAACAATTCTGTGTCCCTCAGTAACAATTCTGTGTCCCTCAGTAACAATTCTGTGTCCCTCAGTAACAATTCTGTGTCCCTCAGTAACAATTCTGTGTCTGTCCCTGAGTAACAATTCTGTGTCCCTCAGTAACAATTCTGTGTCCCTCTCAGTAACAATTCTGTGTCTGTCCCTGAGTAACAATTCTGTGTCCCTGAGTAACAATTCTGTGTCCCTGAGTAACAATTCTGTGTCCCTCAGTAACAATTCTGTGTCCCTCAGTAACAATCTGTGTCTGTCCCTGAGTAACAATTCTGTGTCCCTCAGTAACAATTCTGTGTCCCTCAGTAACAATTCTGTGTCTGTCCCTGAGTAACAATTCTGTGTCCCTCAGTAACAATTCTGTGTCCCTCAGTAACAATTCTGTGTCTGTCCCTGAGTAACAATTCT